CCGCCCCGAACGCCCCGTGCTGCCGCGGTGCCGGCGGAGACCGTCCGCTGCTCCCTGGGGGTGAGAGTGTCCTCTCTCCCCAGGGACCCCCAGAACACGCTTCCTCCGCCCCGCGCTGCTGCCCCCTGAATGTCTTCCCCGTTGCCCGTGTTTCCTGTGGAAGAAACGCGTGCCTCCTATAATAAACCACTGACGTCCTTCTCTTCTGTTATTTCTTAGTCATCCGATTCATTGCATTGCCTATACGTTACACTGCCATCACTGCTCCTCCGCCCATGCATTGCATACCGTATCTGCACAGAGGCGGTGTAGTTACAGACACAGAAAGGGGAAACGTATTTCTTTGAACCCCAGGAGCCTTGATATTTGTAAATTAAGTAGCTGAGATGCCTTACCATGCTTCAAAAAGTGAATCTACTTGGTTGCCCTTTAAGATGCTTATAATCTCATAAACACATACCATCATGAGGACCTACTTCATGCTTTCTTCTGCCTTCTTGTATTATAGTCTTCCTGCTGTAGTGAAGAGTGTTGGTTTCCAATTATGTCACTGCTGTTTTGTGGAATGTCAGAAAAAGAAACATCTTTTTGTAAGATAATCCAAGTGAAAACAAAATTAAGGACCACTTCTAGTTTCTATTATTATTTTTGCTCTTAATAATAATTCATATTGTATTTTGAAAGCATAGTGAGGAATTTTTTCAGCAATACTTTTGTAATTACCTAGTTTTAGGTATATTACTTATATATTACTTATTACATATAAGTAATTTTACTAATTAAGAATATTGAAAATAGCAGCAGCTTTTTAGTTTTCTTTCTAACTGAACCATCTACTCTTAAATCCGGAGGGAGATTCTGATAAGATGAAAATGCTCATTATTTAGGTGAGGAATAATGTCTGACTGAACCATGCTACCAAGGACATTGGTTTAGTATATAGGCAACTATATGCTATATATATACTATAGATATAGAATATGTATGCAAAACAAATCCAGTGTAAGTAAACGTTCATTAAAATGACTCAATGTGATGGCAAGTCAAAAGAGTTCTATAGAGGAGTATCCTTTAATGAGGAGTGTCCTTTAATGAGGAGTCATTGCCTTTGAGCACAAATGATTCAATTTGACTTTGAAATTCAGTGTTACTTCATCAGGTAATGGGTCACCTGCAGGCTGCATAAAAACATTTTGTTCTGAGGCCAGCAGTAGATTTTTAGGATCAGTGGTGATTCAGAAAAGCACAGTTGGCTTCTTTTTAAGGAAACAACCAAAACTGAACTAAACAGGGGCAAGGCAGTTCTCCCCCATATAGCGTACAGCTCCCATGTTGTCTTGGGGCAAACCACAAGTCTTAGTCAACCAGATATCAGTGGCTGAGGTGTCCTCGGTATCAGTGAGAGGCTGGAGTGGGCCCTCGCTTTCTTCTCACCACAGTAACTCTGCACTTTGAAGGCTTGCATAGGAAAGGTGTTATCTTACTGTGGCATTATTACCTTTAAATTGTCATATAGCTTAATAGTGGTGACATAAACATAACTGCTAGTACTGTGCTTGTTGGTTTTTTATTACTATATTTTTCCAGACATCAAGATACGTAGATGGTTATGCTATGGATAGTGGAACTAATTTTGTCTTTTACATGCTTTTGTTATTTCCTTATTTGGCATTACACAGAAAATAGTATTACGGTGATTAAATACTGAAATTAATAAGCACAGCCTTTCTATTTCATGGATTTTAATTTTTTCCCTTGTTAGAAAGGACCACTGTTCTATGAAGAGATTGGGTACTGTATTATTATTACTGTACTGTATTATTGCTTTAACATACTAGCACACCAACTTTTTAGTAGAGAATGTCCAAAACTGCAAACCAAAAAGATTCCATTTTTTAAAATTGCAGTAGTTTTGAATTATTCCTACAAATATAATTTGAAACAGCATTGAAACTCTTCTGTAACAAAACCAGTCTGTTTTTTTGGCAGTGACATTACTAATTCACTACCTCCATTGGTTACCAAATGTTAAAAACACATGGAAAGCATTATGAAACTTCACATTTAGAAATAGTTCAGAGATTTGATGTGCTCCTTGTGATCATCTTCGCAGGTAAATATTGACTGTTTTCCATGTAGGGTCATATAAAGAGAAAAGAGTTTTATTGTAAGTTTGGAACAAAAAGATCTCGTTGGACAAAAAAATGTAACCATGGAATCAAGTGGGAAGAAAAATAATTAAAAATAGGAGAAAATAGGCTTGTGAAGCGGTACGTTATATACTAGTTGTAACTGAATGAGAATTTTAAATGTGTTCATAAAATAAGATTTGTCATAGCTTAAAATTACCATTTTACCTGATTTTTTTAATAGGGAAAATTGCTTGGAGGACTAATGAAAAGGATTTACTGTTTGCTCATTATTGGAGTTAGAAAAAATACTTATTCTAGATCAGTAGATACAATCTTAGTAGCAGGCAGCTGAAAAGTAACTCAGTATAACTTTGTGGTGTCCTTTATGGTAGATTGTATTGTATAAATATTTGTTCCTAAAAGGAAGCTGATATTAAATATAACTTGTGATGCTAGATTAAATAATATAGAAAATGTGTACATTGTCAGTTCAGAATTGTACGGTTTTCTGAATAATCTACTTTTTTTAAAGTGTAATATAAAATCAAATAGTTGAACAGTTTGG